GACAGGGTTTCACCTTGTTGGCCAGGCTGGTGTTGAACTCCCAACCTCGGGTGATTCGCCCACCTTGGCCTCCCGAAGTGCTGGGATTACAGGCGTGAGCCACCACGCCCGGCCATGGTTGAGATTTTTATCAATAGTGAGCAAGTGGTTGTGGGATTTGGTTTGCTTCAAATGGGCTTTCTTCTGGTGTGTAAAGAGTTTAAAAGTGTGGCCAGGCGCGGTGGCTCAAGCCTGTAATCCCAGCTACTCGGGAGGCTGAGGCAGGAGAGTCTCTTGAACCCAGGAGGCAGAGAGGTTGCAGTGAGCTGAGATCGCGCCATTGCACTGCTGCCCAGGTGACAGTGCGAGACTCCAGCTCAAAAAAAATTTTTTTTTTTTTTGTAGAGACAGGGTCTCACTTTGTTGCCCAGGCTGGTCTTAAACTCCTGGCCTCAAGTGGTCCTCCCCGCTTTGGCCTCCAAAAGTGTTGGGATTACAGTCATGAGCCATCTCGCTTAGCTGACTTCTTAATCTTTTAATGGCATGGCGCTCCCTCACATGGCTGCCCCCTCGCTCATTGGACTGGTGCTCTGTTGTTGGACATACGGGTCATTTTTGGTCTTTCATGGATCCAGTCGTGCTGCAGCAGAGAGCCCTGCGTGTGTGTTTGGCCGAGGCTCTGGGGGGTAAAGAGCCCTGCGTGTAGGTTCCTAGAAGTGGGTGGGGCTGCTCAGTCAGGGGCAGATACCCGTAGAGTTTGCTGGAAGCGGCCCGGTCCTCTCTGTGGGGCTGCATCAATGTGCATTTCCACAACAGCCAGGGGGCTTTCTCCAGGTGGGAGCTGCACGCAGTTGCAATACCATCTCTCCTGCCTGAGCAAGGCAGCGTCTCCCCAGTGCTCAGGGCCGCCGGCTGCACTTCCTCCCTGGCCTCCCTGGCCCCATCTCTGGCCGCTGTGGACTGTGGCTTCTTCCAGTTCACCAGGTGTTTAGAGCATGGGAGGGCTGTTGACCCTGGTCTGGAATGTAAATTGCAAATGCTCCTCCATCTGTCTGCTTTTCTGCTCATTCTTTCGGGGCTTCTTTCTTTCTCTCCCACGTGCTCCTGCAGTGCTGAGCTCTGATCATGAGGGTCACATCTCTTCCTGCTTTCCTCAGCAGCCACATTCCCTTGTGCAGTCTTGGCCACACCCACGTGCTGGGGCTGCCTCAGTTGGAATCCAGTTCTAGCCCCTCCTAAGCCCACAGTCCCTGTGTGTCCGGTGCCATCTGGGGCCTGCTCGCCCCTGCAGCAGCCTGAGCTGCAGGCTCTGTGTGTCTGCCCTGTACTCTCAGCCTCGGTCCCTGCACTTGTCTTTGACCCAGCGTCTGAGCAGAGCCCCCCTCCCAGCACGGACGCTGAGTTTTGGGAACTTGGGTCCTCTCCTTATCCCTCTCCCTCTGCCTCTGCTTTGGCCACTCCAGCCAGACCCTGCTCCTTCCTGAAGAGCCTGCCCTGAGGTACACAGCTATGCCTTCCTGGAATGCATGCTGCCCAGCTGTTGGGATCCCTTTCCTAGAAGCCCAGCAGGAAGAGTGGCCCCTGTGGGCACTTGTCCCCTTGGCACCTTCCCAGCTTCCATCACTAAGCCATGCACCTGCTCTGTGCTGCCCAGGGCCTGGGAGCAGACACCTGAGGCACCTTTGCCAACTTGGAAGGCCTTAGGGGAAAGCTGCATGGAGCCATGTTATAGGAGACCTCATTTGCCAGGTTCAGGCATGTCCGTGGCATCCTGGAGGGGATGGGAAGCCAGGGACTATTTTTAATGGCGCGGGTGGCTCTACTTTGGGACCACTACTTTGTTTTTTGTTTGTTTGTTTGTTTTTGAGACAAAGTCTGGCTCTGTCTCCCAGGCTGGAGTGTAATAGCACAATCTCGGCTCACTGCAACCTTCACCTCCTGGGTTCAAGCGATTTTCCTGCCTCAGCCTCCCGAGTAGCTGGGATTACAGGTGTGCGCCATCATGCATGGCTAATTTTTGTCATTTTATTATAAACGGGGTTTCACCATGTTGGCCAGGCTGGTGTTGAACTCCTGACCTCAAGGGATCTGCCCACCTCGGCCTCCCAGGATGCTCATATTATAGGCCTGAGCCACCGTGCCCAGCCTGGGCCACTAGTCTGGAAGTGGGGTGGAGAAGATGTGGAGTGGGGGAGGGGGCGTGGGTGGGCCCAGGAGCCCCTGTGGCAGTCTGTGTGTCGGGAATGGGGCAGTAGGCTGGGGAGGCAGAGAGGATTCAGGGTGTCACGCCAGAGACCTCTGCAGGCTCAGCGCAGATTGTGAGTTAGGTCTGATGGCAGCGAGGCTCACAGGGCAGGGCTGATGGGGCAGGGAGTGGCTCACCCATGGGGGGTTTGAAGATCCGGTTCAACCCCAGAGTCTGCGGCTCCATAAAGGAATGCTCAGAGCAGGGGCATGGAGCAGCCCCGCGGTGTCAGGAAGGCAGCAGTAACCAGCGGGTCTTCCCCATCTTTTCAGGAGCTGTCCAAGATCACGATGCCAATCGCCTTCAACGAGCCTCTGAGCTTCCTGCAGCGGATCACAGAGTACATGGAGCACGTGTACCTCATCCACAGGGCCTCCTGCCAGCCCCAGCCCCTGGAGAGGATGCAGGTGGGCCTTAGGAGTGCCAGGCGGGAGTTTGTCACGAAAGTGACACCCCTTGAATGTCTGGCCATACAGTCTTGGGGCCCCGGGCATCTGTGAGAAGGGCTCGCACAGCTCCCCCCAGTGTTCAGTGCCATCCTGCCTGGCAGCCGTGGCATTTGTCCAGGTATGTGATGACAGAACTTGCAGGAAATGCCATTGAGCTCTCAGTGGCCCCAAGAGCTCCCTGCTGCCGCCTCCCGACGGGAGTCTCCGCCTCTTGGAACGGAAGGTGGTGGCGGGCTTTGCCCTCGGGCTCCTCTGGGGTCCTGTTGTACCACCGCGCCCCGTGTGTGTGTATGTGTGTGACTGTGGGCTGGGCATGCACGGTGGCTCACGCCTGTAATCTCAATACTTTGGGAGGCTGAGCGGATGAATCGCTCCTGGAGGTTGAGACCAGCCTAGGCAACACAGTGAGACCACATCTCTACAAAATTTTTTTTCAAATTTAGGCAGGTGCAGTGGTGCATGCCTGCAATGCCAGCTACTTGGGAGGCTGATGAGAGAGGATCACTTGTGCCCAGGAGCTAGAGGCTACAGTGAGCTATGATAACGCCACTGCACTCCAGCCTGGGTGATGGAGTGAGACCCTGTGTCTAAAAAATAACAAAATACAAGTGTGTGACTGTGGGCGCACATAGTGCATGTCCCTGTGCGCGTGTGTGCGCATGCCTCTGTGAATGCGTGCTTGGGGTGTGCGTGTTGAGTGTGTGGCCTTGTGTGTGCATGTGAGACAGAGTGACTGACATTGTTGCAGCGTCTGCCAGGAAGGGCGCGGCCCCGGGGGTGGAAGGCAGCACCCAGTTCCTTCTTTCTGTGCTGTCGACGGAGTGGCGGGTGATGAAGGGCGTTCCCTGGAAGTCCTATAATCTCAGACACACTGCTTGGAGAAAATTGAAAAATCACACGGAACAAATAGTGACAGAAACCAGGTGCCCACCGCCCTCCACGAGAGGCCGTCTTCTCCGGCACATTTCCTAACTGAAGCTGTTCCTGCCCGTCCTGTGGATTATTTACAGTCTGTGGCTGCTTTTGCTGTTTCGGCCGTGGCTTCCCAGTGGGAGAGGACCGGCAAACCATTTAATCCACTCTTGGGAGAAACGTATGAATTAATCAGGTAAGGGAAAAAGGCCCATCATAAATATCTTGTAAATGGAATTCCTTGGATGACGGATGAGTTTGATTCTTTCACTAGCATTGATTCCACTGCTCTGAGAATAAACTGTTTGAATTAAGAGCTCACTAAAGCGTTTGGATGCTGTAGGCGAGATGTTTCACACACATGGGGTGTTGTGCTAACAGTGCCACGGTGTCTGAGTGAGTGTAAAGCATTGGCAATGAGATATTTTAGTGTGTTTGACTCAAGCGTGGAGACAGCGTGTACCGTAGACGCTTCCGTGTGTGTGCAACGTCTGTGAAATGTGTAGGATTGTTGTGAGTTTCACCGAAAATGGAAATAGGTACTAATGAGCAAAACTAGGCTGTTTTACCAAAGTATTCAGTGAATGCTATTGAAAAAGCAGGTAAATCCAGAGACAGGAATGATTGCAAAGAGGAGTTTCACTGCCAAGGCCACGTTTGCCACCACACAGCCTCCCCAGAGTTTTAGCAATGGTCAGACGGCCCTGGCCAAGGGAGAGTTAACCAGACCACGCCTCATCTCCAGACATCCCTGAAACTTCTTCCTATGGAACTTTCTTCTAGGCAGCATTGCTCTCCCTTCCTAGAGTCCCCTCAGCTTCCCTCCTGTCTCTGGTGGCCCTCACCTTACAGACCTGAGACTGACTCCAAGTCCCAGAACTCTGACCCCAGAGGTCCAGCGAGGCCCCATATCACGTTGTCTGCGGCTGGGCCTCTGGAAGGACTGGTTGGGGTTCTCTTCACGCACCTGGTTGCCCCGGGGACTGCTGTGGTTATTCACAGAATCATCCTGGGATTCTGCCCCGGTGACAGTGCCTACCCAAACCAACAAAGGAAGTCAGAAGCAGGCCAGACCGCAGCATGAGTGTGGCAGTGTGGTAATTCCTCAGCCATCGAGCAGCCTGGCTGGGGCTCCGGGTGGCTGCGGATGAGGGAATAGATGTGTGTGGCTTCCTTCAGGGCCGTTTGGTGATGTCTAAAATGATTTTTATTCCACTGCCCGTGGACCCCCTCATTCTCTTGTAGATGCATGCGGGTGCCCATGGGCAGATGTGTAGGGAGAGTCAGCAGAGCACAGTTGAGCCCCTGTCTCTGTGACAGGGCTAAGCTATGGTACTGAAGGAGGGAGGGGCAGGGCACTCTCAGCTGCACCCTTCACTCCTCCGACTGTCTGGTAGCCCAGCACACAGAGCTCGCTCCGCCTGCCCGGGGAGAAGGAGCTTGCTGGTGGGACGCCCTTCACTCCTCCGACTGTCGAGGTAGCCCAGCACACAGAGCTCGCTCCGCCTGCCCGGGGAGAAGGAGCTTGGCTGAGGGCGTGGGATCGAGAGCGAGAGCGCGGCGAGAATGCAAGCTGTTTGCTACAGGTGCTGCGCACGCCTCCCTGCCAGGAACAGAGTGGCAGGACGAGGAGGGGAAGCAGGGCTCCTTTTCATCTGGTGTAGAGCGAGAGAAGAAGGAGTGAGCAAACAACAATTAGCGCTTATTTGGGATTCTGGGTTATTGAGATTCTGTTGGTATTTTACTTGAAGGAAGCTATTGTGTTTTAGTTATAAGAATGGCTCTTTATAGAAAATGTGGTAACATTGAGAAGGGTAGAAAAGATTAGAATCAGCATGAGATCCATAAAAGAGCAAGAGCGACTAGGCGTCATGCCTATTAATCCGAGAACGGAGCGCGAGAACGAGCGAGCACGTCGAGCCCAGAGTTCAAAGTTACGGTGAGCGCCACTGCAGCGTCGTAAGCGAGCGGAGCAGAGCGCGAGACCCGCGTCCTGAAAAAAAGAAAAGTAGCGCGAGATGAGAGCGCGGCAAGATGAGAGAAAGCCCAAGCAGAGCGAGAAGGCGGAAGAAAGACTTTGTTCTAAAGTACAGTGTTCTATGGGAGTCTAAGACCACATTGTTCGGATGTTGGCGAGACTTCTGAACATGGTTCGGAGTTTCGGACGCCTGTTGTTTTTGAGGATGGCGTCTGCTCTGTCCCCCAGCTGAGAGTGCAGGACATGGGCACAGAGGCGTAGCTCACCTCCTGCGTAAAGAGCGCGCGGCGAGCGGCAGCCGTCGCCAAAGGAGCGAACGTACAGCATGCGCGCACCGAGCCCAGGAATAATTTTTGGTATTTGTCTTTTTTTTTTTTTGGAGACGGAGTCTTGCTCTGTCACCCAGGCTGGAGTGCATGGCGGGATCTCAGCTCACTGCAAGCTCCGCCTCCCGGGTTCACGCGCGTTCTCTGCCTCAGCCTCCCACGCTGGGACTACAGGCGCCCGCCACCTCGCCCGGCTAGTTTTTTGTATTTTTTTAGGTAGAGATGGGTTTCACCCGCGCTAGCCAGAATGGCTCGATCCCTGACCTCGGTGATCCGCCGGTCTCGCCTCCCAAAGTGCTGGGATTACAGGCTTGAGCCACCGCGCCCGGCCAATTTTGGTATTTTCAATAGAGATAGTGTTTTGCTATGTTGCCCAGGCTAGTCTTGAACTCCTGAGCTCAAGTGATCTGCCTACCTCTGCCTCCCAAAGTGCTAGGATTACAGGTGTGAGCCTCTGCGCCCAGCCCAAGTCATAGTTTCATTTGCAGCATTTTTTTCTTTCTTTCATAAAATAATGGTGTGCCGTGCAATTAGTGACATCTTTGGTTCAAAGAAGTGCAGTTCCTTTGAAACTTCAGGTCACTGTATGGGACCCTTTATTGTATTTTATGTGTTATTAATGATTGAGAATTTTTTTTTTTTTTTTTTTTTTGAGACGGAGTCTCCATTGGTTGCCCAGGCTGGAAGGCAGTGGCATGATCTGATCTCGGCTCGCTGCAGCTCTGCCTGTGGGTTTAAGCAATTCTCCCTGTTCTCCGCCTCAGCTTCCCGAGTATTTGGGATCTACAGGCGCATGCCACCAATGCCCGACTAAATTTTCTTGTTTTCAGTAGAGGACAGGGTTTCACCTTGTTGCCAGAGCTGGTGTTGAACTCCCAACCTCTGGTGTGATTGCCCACCTTTGCCTCCCCAGATGCTGCGGATTCACAGGCCGTGAGACACACCACGGCCCGCGATGGTTGAATTTTATCAATATCGA